AGGAACATCTGTTTCCAGGAACCTCCTGAGCCACTTCTAACCGCTAGATGGCCAAGCTGTAAGGTTATTATTTCCTTAGGCAAGCAAACTCAGCCCTTTACTACAGTATTTATGGGACTGCAATATCAACAGGAAGTCCTGTACAGGAGAGCTCTGCCAAACTATTCATTCCGAGAAAGGGATTTATAAAGGGACAAATTTGTTCATCCCTCTACAACATCTTGCAGCCTCCACACGCGGTCCCTGTGGCAGACTTCATCCACAGAGGGGTCACCGCTGATCTCACTATGCCTCTCTAGGTTCCTGAGCCCGGAAGACTTATAGACATAACCCTCTATAAGAAAACCAGAAAACCAGACAGGGCCGGGGATTTAGCTCAGTGGTGCCGTGCCTGCCTCACAAGTGCAAGGTCCCGAGTTCAATCCCCGGTACCAAAAGAAAAAGAAAAAGAAAACCAGACAAACAGAAAACTGCATTTATAAAGCGAAGGAGCCATTTATTGGTACCAGGAAAGCGTTCCTTTAAATGGGGGAACCCTAAACACCAAAGTCTCACTCATTTTATGGAAACTTGGGCCCAAACCCTCCACAAGTTACTCACGAACAGAAGCAAATATTAGAGTTAAATAAACTGAAGAAATTGGTCCTGCTACAAGACGATAAAGGAACAGGAGAGCAATGTTCCTGCTTTTACACCGCAACGTCTTCTGGTACCAAAGGACACCAGACAATCTCCAAGGTAGAACAAAACAGCTTCCCACTACTGTCTGAAGGCACCATCATTTAATTACCAGTAGTCAGTTGTAAGAAAATTTCCTGGACAATAGGAGTGACCTTCCCCACCTCGGCTCTGTGACCTGCGGTCGAGAAGCCAAGTTCCTGAGAAACTGCAAGTAGGTGACACTTGTCGAGAACGCTCTCGGATCGCCAGCGTCAGGCCTGTTTTCCAGCCGGAAGAGGCAGCTGGCGCGACAGCGAGACCTGCTAGGCATCCAGGTCAAAGTCATCGCGCTCCTCATTGTACTCCAGCACGTGTCGCTTGATCTTGGACGAGTCGACCCAGGTGACAAAGTCCTCCATACTGCGGGTGACAAGGAAGGCGGGGTCGGTTACCACGTCCGGACCCACACGTACGTGCCCCTGTTCCACAAATGCCACGGCAGCCTGGAGATGCTGAGCCATGCGCAGCTTGAGGAGCACGGTGGGCAGGCGACGGCGGCAGAAGGACGAGGCCGTGACGAAATCGCACAGCTCTAGTGAGCCGCGCGTGGGCACCAGGCCCAGAGCGTAGAGCTTGTTCAGCAGAGCTGCGGAGGCACGCACGCGGAACGGGTCGCGCTCCGACAGGTCGCGCAGGCGCCGCGCCAGCTCGCGCACGGCCCGGCTCAGCTGGTTGTACCGTGTGTAGTCCTCGCGCCGCTGCAGTCCGTAGCGTCGCAGCACGCGCAGTTCGTGGAGGTTGTGGTCGGTAACTTCCCAGTTCAGGAAGTCCACCTGCTTCAGTAGCTTCTGCTCGTGGAACTTCAGCTTCCGCACCATGATAGCAGCCGCCGAGGAAACGCAACCCGAAGCTACCAGGGCGTCCAGGCCCCTGCGATTTCCGCCTCCGCGCGCGAACTAGGCGTGTCTGGGGATCCTTGACCAATGAAAAAAGGGCACATAACACGCCCTCACCCTCCATTGGCTAAAGAGGACTCCGCTCCCTCGCCTAGGTCTCGCGTTTCTTCCCTACTTCCTGTTAGTTGGCGGAGGAGGAAGGGATAGAGGCTGCTAGCTGGTCCCTAGCCCGCCCGGCACGTTTCCTAGTAACCGAGAAAACGTCCTGCAGTGCAGTGGTAACTTTAGAGCTCTCCCTTTTTGGGACTCTCAGGACAGTCGCCCTCTGAAGAGCTGAAGGGGCCATTCCGTTGGAAAAGGAGTGACTGCCGTGCACCTCCGATCGGGGTTACCATCCCAGCGGGCCTTTGGGCTCCTTTCTCCTGAAGATTTTTTTTTTTTTTTGGTATCGGGAATCAAATTCCGGACCTTGCGCTTGCGAGGCAGGCTCCAGAACCACTGAGCTAAATTTCCGGCCCATGAAGATCTTTCTTAGGCTGAGGTCCCGGGCCTGGCGGAGCGGTTCCGTCACCTGCCACCTTCAGGTCCCCAACCCAGGCGGGGCAATTTCTCCTGCCATAGAGGCTGGACAGCGTCGAATCTGTGATCTGATTATTCCCGGGCCGCTGCCTACATTGCAGAATCGGCTAGGGGACCCTCTGGAATTTTTTTTTTTTTTTTTTTTTAGTACCAGGGACCGAATTCGGGACCTTGCGCTTGCGAGGCAGGCGCCGAAACCACTGAGCTACATCCCCGGCCCCTGGAAATTTTTGGTTTTGTTTTATGTTTTTGAAACAGGGTCTCGCTGTGTACCCCAGGCTGGCCTCGAATCACGGCAATCCTCCTGCCTCGCCTCCTGAGTGCCGGGATTGCAGGCGTGTGCCACCATGCCCGGCTGGAAATATTTTTGATTTTGTTTTTTGCGGTACTGGGGATTGAATCCAGGAACTCGAACATGCTAGGCAAGTGCTGTCCCATTAAGCTGCATCCCCAGACTTAGAGAGAGGTATTTTTAACAAAACTGTCACGTAACTCATGAAATTCAGCGAATTTGAGAAACTTATGACTGTACGTACAAGCCTTTGGTCTGGGCTCAAACGAATTAGCTGGATGGGGGTGGTTTTTTGGACAGTGAGCACAGAGTTAACGTTGCCTGGGCTAGTCAAATCTGTAAAAATCGCATCTGAGTGCTGCGCTGCTGGATGGATTCTTTTTTTAGCCAGGACTTTGACGCCACCTAGCTTCTTCTCGGATTTTTTTTTTTTAATGTTTTTGTCTTTTAAAATATAGTGTATCTGGAAAATAATACATGTGTAACATGTAAGTTATTATGTATAATGAATACTCATGAACCCAACAGTTTAAGTACAACAGAATCATTTCCACCTACCTGTTCCACCCACTTTCTTCAGCAGAAAAATATATCCTCTCCTAAATATTGTTTGTTTCCTTTTGTTTAAAGAGAATTTTTATCATTATACCTGCATCCCTAGAAACACTGTAGAGTAGAATCTTAGGCCTTGTTCTTGATCTATAGTATCTGAATTTTTCACAAGATAATTTGTGTGCACACTGATATTTGGGAAGTGTTCCATAAAAAACAAAACACAGGGCTGGGGATTTAGCTCAGTGGTTCCACCACCTGCCTCGAAAGCACAAGGACCTGAGTTTGATCCCTGGTACCAAAAAAACAAAACAAGACACACCTGGATGTGGTAGTCCAGGCCTGTAACTCCAGCACTCTGAGAGGCTGAGGCAGGAGGATCACAAGTTCAACCCCAGCCTGGGGAATTCAGCAATTTAGTAAGACCTTGTTTCAAAATACACAATATTTAAAAGGGGTGGGCATGTAGCTCAGTGTGAAGGTCTTGCACTGCCAAAAAAAATAGAGTTTGTGTAACTGTAATCGGTTTTTCTCCTGCTATGGAATAGCCCACTGTTTGGCTCTACTTTATTTTTTTTTTAATTTAAATTTTTTTGGGGGGGTACCGGGGATCAAACTCAGGTCCTTGCGCTTTCGAGGCAGGCGACGGAACCACTGGGCTAAATCCCCAGCCCTTGACTCTACTTTATTAATCCATTTTCCTGTTGGTTTTTGTTGTTGTTGGATTTTTTTGAGGGACTTTTTGTTTTGTTTTTTGGAGACAGGGTATCACTATTCAGTTCAACCTGGCCTTGAACTTACTACATAACACAGACTGGCATCCAGCTCTCAGCAATCCTGTCTCAGCCTCCCAAGTGCTACCACGCCTGGTTTACCACTAATATCCTATATGTCTCTTTTTTTTTTTTTTGGTATGAGGGATCGAACTCGGGTCCTTAGCTTTCGAGGCAGGCAGTGGAACCACTGAGCTAAATCCCCGGCCCTCCTATGTGTCTCTTGTTGAACATATGTAATATATTTGTAGTATGCACTGGAGTAGAATTGCTGTTTGACCTTATTAGATTTTACCAAGTTGTTTTCCAAAGAGGTTGTACCAGTTTATATCCTCTAGCTCCTCATTCTTGGTAATCAGCAGTCTTTTTTTTTCTTTTTTTTTGGTGCTGGGGATTGAACTCCGGTCCTTGCACTTTTGAGGCAGGCGGCAGAACCACTGAGCTAAATCCCTGGCCCCGACCTCCTCATTCTTACTGATGCTTGGTTGTTAGTTTTTTGGAGAGTTGAACAGAGGATCTTTGCACTGAGCAACATCATCATCATCATTATTATTATTGGGTTGTTTTTTTTACAAGGACTCACTAAATTGCCTAGGCTAGGTTTGATTTTAAAATCCTTTTGCTTCAACCTTCCAAATAGTTGAGATTAAAGAGGTGTGCCATCATGCCTGAATCAGTTTTCAAAATCTTTGCCAATCTGGTGTGTACTGTTTTTTGGGGGGTTTTTTTTGGTACTGGGGATCGAACGCAGGTCCTTGCGCTTGCTCAGCAGGCAGCGAAACCACTGAGCTAAATCCCCAGCCCTTGGTATGTACTGTTTTTGTTGTTGTTTTTAGACAGAATCTTGCTGTGTAATTCAGGCTGGCCTTGAACTCACTATGTAGCCCAGGCTGGCCTCCAACTCACGGCAATCCTCCTGCCTCAGCTTCCTGAGTGCTGGGATTACAGGCATGTGCCACCATACCCAGCTGAGGATGACAAATTTATATTATGGGGTTTTTTTGGGACAAATTTGTATTGTGTGAAGCCACTAAATTTGTGGTTAATTGTTGCAGCTGTAATAGAAAACAAGTATAGATTATCTGCTTTTTTACTAATTGATTTGGAGGTGTTTTTACAGTCTGAATATATTTTCCTTAACCAGCTATATATGCTACACATTTCTTTTCTCTGTTTGTACTTTACCCTCATATTCTGCAGCTTCTCTTTCATCTTCAGCCCTCTCTCAATATGTCTATAGTAGTACTTTTTAATTTCCTTCTTTTCCAGACAATAAACAATAAATATACTTATCTTTCCATATATGCGGGGGCTCATCCCTGGACCCCAAGGATAACAAGAACCATGGGGAGATTAAGTCCCTTGTATAAAATGGCATAGTATTTGGACAGAACCTAAACACATCCTGTACGCTTTTTTCCCCCAATACTGGGGATTGAACCCAGGGCCTTCGCACTGAGCTGCATTCCCAGACCTTTATATTTTTTATTTTATTTTATTTTTTGGTACCAGGGGTTGAACTCAGGAACTTGCACTTGGTGAACCTGGCGATGGAACCACTGAGCTAAATCCCTGGCCCTTTATTTTTTATTTTGAGACAGGGTTTCACTAAATCACCCAGCTAGGCTTGAATTTGCAGTTCTCCTGCTTCAGCGTCCCCAAGTGTCCCACACGCTTTAAATTATTTTCTAGATTACTTATTTCTTTCTTTTTAAAATTGTTTTTCTAGATTACTTATTTCTACTACAAAGGAAATGCCATGTAAATTTTTTTTTTTTTTTTTTGGTGGTACTGCCGATCGAACTGGTCCTTGTGCTTTTGAGGCAGGCGGTGGAACCACTGAGCTAAATCCCCAGCCCACCATGTAAATTGTGATACTGTGTTATTTAGTGGGTGGTGATAGGGAAAAAAGTCTGTGCGTGTTGAGTACAGATGCAACTGTTCTTCTCCCTCCCTTTTTTTAAAGACAAGGTCTCACTAAGTAGCCCAGGCTGTCCTTGAACTCAAGGCAATCCTCCTGCCTCAGGCTCCCAAGTGCTGGGATTATAGGCATGTGCCACCACACCCAGCTAAGAAAACAATTTTTATACAAACGGTTGATACTTCTCTCAAGACCACAATCTTGCTGGATGTATGTCTGTAATCCTAGCTACTCAGGAGGAGGCTAAGGGAACAGGACTTCAAGTTCCAGCCCATCCCTGACAATTTAGTAAGAACTTGTTTGAAAAAAAAAAAAAAGGCCCACATCTTTTTGGCCACTATTCTGGTCTACCCTACCCTAAACCCCCCAGTTTATCTTCTCCCAAGCCCGTTGTCCCTGTCTTATGGCCCTGATTCCCAGAGAGGTCTGCCTAGAAGCACTGGGCACAGTGCTCTCGTGCTGAAGCTGAATCTTGGGGTACAAACAGGAAGTCTAGGGTGGGGGGACCGCTGTTTCCTGTGCACAGATCAGAGTCCCAGCAGGAAAGAGAACAAGCTTCGACTAGAATAAAATGAAGAAAATGAATTTAAAGAATGCCTGCCAAAGGAATGGGCAGGGTTCAGGGAAACCACACAATTAGTGCAGCTTCTGAGACTCATACCTTGGGCTGTCACCCCTAGATGTGAAGCAAGGAGGGAATCTGCTGAAGGGTAAGTGCTCCTCAAGAAACTGGAAATAAGGGTGACCTGTGAGGGTGAGGCAAAGGCACCTGGAGCAGGTTTGGGGTAACTCCATGATGGATGGTCTGTAAATGTGTGGCCCAAATGTTTGGGACCAGACTAAAGACACCAGGGTAGTGGCTGGAGATCCTGGGGTGGGGCTGGATCTGGCCCTCACTGAGTTTGAGGAAATCTCATCACCTGTATGCAGTGAGCCTGCCTAGGGAGAGAATTTACAGCCATCCCTGGCACTTGGCACTACTAAGGAAGTAGCTGCTATTTTTTTTTTTAACAGTAGCAGTTTTATTAAAGGTAGGAAAAGAAATAGGCTTTGCAGAGTGAGTTTGGTCCAAGTAAAAGTAGGAAAAGAAGTACATCCTGTAACGTGAGGGTGGGCCATCCATGCAAGAGAGAACACAGTAGCCAAAAAGTCAATGCCAACTGTCCTTTTTGTATCATCCACTCCTCAGGCTGACGACAGGTCTAGGCCTTCCTATGGAAAACCTGCTCTAGTTCTCTCAAGAAGCCCACATGCAGGGAACTGTTCTGCACATGTGTTCTGGGATTTTGTTAATTAACAGGTCACATCTATTTCCCCAGCCATCTTTGCCATGCCCTAATCACCTGTCTCATTTAGTAGCTGCTATTGTTAACCCAGTTTGCAGGACAGGTGACAGGAAGGTGCTAGGAAGCCCATGCTGCCTTGATCTATGGGACGAAAAGATCCAATTTTGCTTCTCAATTGTGCAATTTGGCACCTGGGTGCCTGGGGTTTGTCTATAAGCTTGCTGTTCTGGTCAAATACCAGCCCTGCATTACACCCATGAAATTGGGTTTTGGAGCCTGGCAACTCTGTCCCTCAAGAAAACTAAAGGTGGGTATGGGTGGTTCCCCGCCTTTAGCAGAACTACTACCAGCAACAAGCAGGAAGAGTAAGAATGAAGGGAAGAAGTTCTAGCTAGGAGGGTAGGCAAGGCTCCAGGGCATGTCCAGAAAAGCTTTACTTTAGGCACCTCCTCCTCCAGGAAGCCATCCTTGATCCCTGCTCCACCCAGGCTGGTATAGTGCCCTCCCATGCACTTTGTACGGCACTGGCCAAACGGCACATTTGAGGATTCTAGAAGGTAAGGTAAGGATGATGTCTTACTCCTTTTTTTTTTTTTTTTTTTGGTACTAGGGATTTAACTCAGGACCTCGAGTTTGCCAGGTGGGTGCCATGCCACTGAACTACATCCCCACCCCCTGCCCAATTTTCTTAAATGAGCAAGATGGTTGGCCCGGGGATGTAGCTCAGTGGTGCTGCGCCTGCCTGGCAAGGGCAAGGCCCTGAGTTCAATCCCTGGTACCAAAATTTTTTTTTTAATTTTTAATTTTTTTGTTTTTTGAGACAGTATCTCACTATGTACTTCAGGCTGGCCTTGAACTCATTATGTGTAGCTCCAGGCTAGCCTAACTGGCAGCAATCCTGCCTTAGCCTCTCCAGTGCTGGGGTTACAGGCCTTTGCTGCTATGCCTGGCTCTTTTTTTAAATTTCTGAGACAAGTTCTCACTATGTAATTCAGGCTTGTCAGGAACCCACAGAGATCCTCATGCATCAGCCTCCAGAGTTCTGGGATTACGAGCTTGTGCCAGCATGCCCAACTTCATATTACACATTTTTGTAGCCCAGGGCCCAGAAGCTACTCTTTTAATGTTCTTGGGTGCGTGACTTAGGCTCTCGGGGTCACAGTCTGGGAGCTGAGGGGGAGGTGTAAGGGGGAAGGAGATGAGGTGGGGAGGGTTAGAGAGGGAGGGGTCCTGGCCTCCACAGCCGCGCGCGCCCTCAAACTCCCGGAGTTCTCCGCACTCGCGTCGAGGGCCGGGCCGGGGTGGTAGAGGCCTCCCCGGACCGCGGACCCCTGTGTCCGTGGGCGAGGAGCCCGAGTCCAAGAGCGCGGGACTCCGGCGGAGTGCAGGATCCCAGTCCTGCCCGACCGGGGCGGAGCCGCGTGCGCCCGGCCCGGGACCGCGGAAGTGCGAGTGGCGCTCCCTCCGCCCCCTCTCCTCACCGCTCACCTCCGCCCGCGTCCCCTCCTGCGGGACGCCACCTCCCGGAGTCGCCTTTCCTTTTTTTTTGTTTTTGTTTTGTTTTGTTTTGGAGTTTGCTGCCGGGCAGAGGGGCTGAGCGGCGGGGAGGTGGGACGCACGGACGGACGAGGGGACAGACGGCCGATCCTTTGCAGGGCGGGCGCGCTGGGGACCGGGTGGAGCGCTCCAGGACGGCGTCTGCCGGGCCCAACTCTGGACAGGGTCCCGGGACGCAGTCGGGGTCAGCTGCGGGCTCAGGATGCTGAAGAGTTAGGCAAACAACAGAGGCCATTGAGCGAGTGTCCCGGGGTCCCCCTCTGCTCCCGGGTGGGCGCAGGTCGGGCCTTGGGGGCCCACAGAGCCACTGCCGGTCGGGGTCGTGGAGTTGGCCTGTTGTGCAAACCTCGGCCCTTGTTTTCCCGGCCCAGCTCGTTGGGAGGCCGGACACATCCACCCTTGGAATTGATTCAGGAGGGTGCTGCTTTTCTCCTTGCTTCTCTTGAATTTTCTGGATTTTCGAAAACCCAGTGGCCCAGGAGGAGGAGGAGGAGGAGGAGGAGGAAGGAGGAAGGGCCCATCTGCAGAGGAATGCAAGAGCCTCCCCGAGCGGGAGCAGCCAGCGGGAGCCGGGAGCCAGCGGGAAGAAAGGCCCTGCCTGCGTTTCTGGGACGGCGGTTTGTTCCGAGGAAGCCTCCTCTGCCTTAGAACATTGTTCCGGTGGAAAGTATTGAATTCTTGCCCTCGCAGAGCTGGTTTCTCCGGGTCACTTGACTTTTCCATTGGGAGTGGGAGGAGGGAGAGACTCCCCCTTCCCAGGGCTGCCAAGAAAGGGAGGAAGACTATGGACAGAGCCCCACGTTCCTTGCCCACAGGCAATGCCGGGAGACCCCGCGGGGCAGTTCCTGGGTCATGGACACTGCTCTGAAGAAGGGGAGGCTGGACAGAGTCTGTGGATGCTGAGACCCTGCCGCAGGGGCCCCTGAGACGGCACTGTGTAATAGGCATCGAGCTGCTGGTGCATTTTTGGTCACCCTGGTCTAGAACACGGCCCTCTCCTTCCCATCTTTATCCACCAGCAGCACCACCATGGCGCTGAAAGGTCGAGCCCTGTATGACTTTCACAGCGAGACTGAGGGGGAAATCAGCATCCGGCAGGATGAGGACCTGGTAGTCTTCAGTGAGACCTCCCTGGATGGCTGGCTTCAGGGGCAGAACAGCCGTGGGGAGATGGGGCTGTTTCCTGCCTCCTATGTGGAGATCATCCGTCCTGGCATCGGTGCCAACCATGGTGACTACCCCAGCAGCCCTGCAGGGTCTCTGGGTACCCAGGTGAGCGCCTATGACAGCTTTAGCCCAGCCAGGAGTGGTGGGGGCAGTGGCTTCTTCTCGAACCCAGGCAGCTTCGAGGAGGACGATGATGATGACTGGGATGACTGGGATGATGGGTGTACGGTGGTGGAGGAGCCTCGGGGTGCTGGGCTGGGTACCAATGGGCACCCCCCACTCAACCTTTCCTACCCGGGTGCCTACCCCAGCCAGCACATGGCTCTCCGGCCCAAGCCACCCCTGGAGCGGCAAGACAGCCTGGCATCTGCCAAGCGGGGCAGCATGGTGGGCCGCAACCTTAACCGCTTTTCCTGCTTCGTGCGCTCTGGTGTGGAAGCCTTCATCCTTGGAGATGTGCCTATGATGGCCAAGATTGCCGAGACTTACTCCATCGAAATGGGCCCCCGCGGCCCCCAGTGGAAGGCCAACCCCCATCCATTTGCCTGCTCCGTGGAGGACCCCACCAAACAGACCAAGTTCAAAGGCATCAAAAGCTACATTTCCTATAAACTCACTCCCACCCACTCAGGCTCACCTGTCTACCGGCGCTACAAACACTTTGACTGGCTCTACAACCGCCTGCTGCACAAGTTCACGGTCATCTCTGTCCCCCACCTGCCTGAGAAGCAGGCCACTGGCCGCTTCGAGGAGGACTTCATCGAGAAACGCAAGCGGCGACTCATCCTCTGGATGGACCACATGACCAGCCACCCCGTGCTCTCTCAGTACGAGGGCTTCCAGCATTTCCTCAGCTGCCTGGACGACAAGCAGTGGAAGATGGGTAAGCGCCGTGCAGAGAAGGATGAGATGGTGGGCGCCAGCTTCCTGCTCACCTTACAGATCCCCACAGAGCACCAGGACCTGCAGGATGTGGAGGACCGTGTGGACACTTTCAAGGCCTTCAGCAAGAAGATGGATGACAGTGTTCTGCAGCTCAGCACTGTGGCATCGGAGCTCGTGCGCAAGCATGCCGGCGGATTCCGCAAAGACTTTCAGAAGCTGGGCAGTGCCTTCCAGGCCATCAGCCAGGCCTTCCAGATGGATCCTCCTTTCAGCTCCGAGGCCCTCAACAGTGCCATCTCGCACACAGGCCGGACCTACGAGACCGTGGGCGAGATGTTCGCCGAGCAGCCCAAGAATGACCTTTTCCACATGCTTGACATGCTGTCCCTCTACCAGGGCCTGCTCTCCAACTTCCCCGACATCATCCACCTGCAGAAAGGTAGGCCCCCAGCAGTCAGGGGATTTCCTGAGCTTGGTGCCTTGCCAGACCCAGGGATGGGGGTGGCCTTGGAGTGGGGCAGCTCACTGAGTCTGTCTTCAACTGTCATTCACTCAACAAACATGTTGGATATATACTCTGTGGCAGCTCTGTCTTCATGGAGCCCCACATTTGCCTGTTGGTCAGCTCACCCTTTTTCTGTCCCGTCTTGCTTACACTATCATGCATGGTATGAAGCTGAGTCCTGGGAACAAAGAGATGACCAGGCCCAGGCCCAAATAACAGGAGCACAGTGTGCAGCCTGTCTTCCCACTCCTCAGGCTCGGTGGCACTTCGGCCTCTCCAAGTCCTTCTCCACCCGACCCCTGAGCTCCTAACTGTGTGGGAGGATCCCTGTCCTCATTTTGCAGATGATGGAGCTGCAGGGAGGTACAGGGAGCTGTGGCCCAGCTGGGACTGTCTCTTCCTCCTGCCGCCTCCCAAAGGACACATCCACCTTGGCTGCCTCCCAGGCCCAGCCACGTTTTTGGTTTCCAGGGCCCTGTCTGTAGGGGAGGGACAGGATGGGCCCCTGCCTGTTACTGCTGGGTTGTGCAGGAGCTACCAGGGAAATGACTCACCGAGCTCACACAGGGTCATAGTCGGGCTGGGGAGCGGAACCAGGGGTCTGGGGCACTGCTTAGGTGGCCCAGCCTGTCCCCCTTCCCAAGCCTGGCTTCTCTTCTTGCCTGGGGTGTGAATCAGGAGCTGAACCTGGAGGTGGCAAAGTCCTGGGGACAGTGTGGCAGGGCAGATGTCAGGAGAGGTGTGGTCCTCCCTGGGGCTGCTGGTAACTCAGGAAGAATGGGGCCAAACCCTGAGGCCTGAGGTCAGGCCTGACTGGTGGGAGCTTGACTCTGGGTGGGGCAATGTAGGCTTCTATTGAGCCGGGGGACAGCTGCCTCTCCTTGCCCCTGGGTGCCAGGGGAGTCTGGGGAAGGTGGTGGGTCTCCTCACCAGCAGGGTGACTGTCAAAACACCCCTTGCCTCTCCTTCATGACCCCTTTCAGTTCCAAGAGACACAAGGCCTAAGTTCTAGCTGGGCTCTTCCCCAGTTCACCTGTGCCCTGAGAAGTGCCTCCCCTGCCCCTGCCTCAGTTTCCTATTTATGGAGCAAGAGAGGGGACCCCATGAGCTCTCAGGCCTTGGAGGGAAGGAGTGGGAGGGGACTGCAGTGACCCAGCAGCAGAATGGTGCCTTGGATCTTCGCTGGGCCCCACGGGGCAGGTGCCTTCATGGGCGGAAGTGGGCCTCACCTGCACCAGGCCTGGGAAAGCTGGTTTGACTAGCTCCTCTATGGTGTGTTTCTGTGTGGGCAGTCGGAGGCTGGGCCTGATGATGAAACAGCTGCCAGCATGGGGCCACTGGGCCAAGCTGGGTCGAAGCAGGGGCAGCAGGGTGACCCATGCCTGGGGCACCCAGGGCTCGAGGCTCACATCAAAGCCGCAAAGCAGAGAGATGGAGCTGAGGGAGGCTGTGTCTGGATCCCTGCCTGAGGTGTTTCTGGGAGCCAAGGCCACTGTCCCCTGGGATGGCCATGCAGCCTGAGGCAGAGGCTGGGCTGTACACCTTCCTCTGGAACCCCTGCACCCAGGTTCCCGTGGGCTTGCATTAGGTTCTAGAATCTGGCCTAGGGTCCATGGTGAGGAGGGAGGAGGGCTTGGAATTGTTTGAGGCAGATCTGAGCAGGCTTTGGGGACCTCAGCCAGAGAGGGTCCCATGCTGGGCCTATGGATGGAGACATTGGATCCTGGGTCTGTGCAGCCTATCTAGAACCCAGGCCAGCGGTCTCCCAAGAGAACAGCAATCATATAATTAACATCCAAGAGCCAGGCATGGTGGTGCATGCCTTGAATCTCAGCACTTGGGAGGCTGAGGCAGGAGGATCACCCTAAGTTGGAGGCCAACCTGGCTACATAGTAACCCTGTCCCAAAACAAACAGAAACATTCAAGCTGGGGCAGCTGGGGATGAAGAGGGCCCTGGTAACGGTTATCCTGAGACATCAAGGAGAAAGTGGCTGTTCCGGGTGAGCAGGGACTTGCCGTCCCCACCTGACAGCTAGCAAAGGCCAGGCTTAGTCCCCAGGGCATCCCAGCCCAGGAGGTCCGTGTGACCACCCAGTTTTACAGACAAGTGCACTGGAGTGGTTTCAGAAGCAGAGAAGGAAGGACCTGGAACCCAGTGTGTGTGGTTCCCTGGCCTGAGTTCTGTCCATTGTGTCAGGCAGTTGAGGGGCTCCTCAAGGGGTGGGCAGCTGGGGTAGATGTGCCAGCTGGGAAGGAGGCTCGGTGGGTGCTCCAGCATAGACCTGGCCAAGGGAAGGGCATTGCAGGACAGGGTCTTCTGGGGACAAACAGGTTCTGACCATCAGCTAACCTTTCCTCTGCTCTCTGAGGCTTTTATAAGCAGAGAACCATGCTGCCACAAGCCACGCCACTGCCACCTGAGTACATATGTGACCCCGAGGGGAGAAGCCTGGCACCCAGCTCCTGGCATCCCAAGCTCTGGGTCCCTGCAGGTGCAGTCCTCAGATGCTCCAGGAGGGCACTGTCACCGGAGTGGAAAACAGCTCTGTATGCTGTGAGCAGTGGTCAGGAGCATCACATGCAGTGCTGCCTGTCCCATGTTATAGCAGGGAGAACTGCAGCCCAGAAGGAGGAAGGGTTGCTGCAGGTGGCACAGTGGGGACCAAGGCTCAGGCCTCCTGCCCCCAACCTGGGGTAGGTGGTGACTTCCTTAAGTGGACAGAAGATGGTTTGAGGCTGGAGCCCGGGAACCTGTTGGGGACCAGGGGTTCTGTGGCTGGTGGCCCCAGCTCTCCTTCATTGCTGGGACCTGGATGCCAGGCTAGCAACGACCCTGGGTGGGAAACGTTAGCCTCAGCTGGTCCTGGTCCCAGAACTGAGTCACAGGGTGGGGAAGTGACAGCGGGGTGGGGCCTCTGCCTGTCCTCACCCCTGCAGCCTTTGCCCCCATCCCTGGCTCTTGCCTGAGTGAATACCGAGCCAGAGCCAATGCTCAGTAGGATCCTTCTTGCTTTTTGGGCCACTGTCAGCTTATCAACGAAAGGGCCTTTCCTTCCTCAAGGCCACGGGCAGGAAAAACCCTTTTGGGTACCGATCCACCCTCCCTGCACCCAGCCTCACACAGGCAGGTGGAATCCAGGTCCCTCTGTCTCCTTTTCAGGTTGGTTTCTCTGGCAGAAGCTTAACTTCAGTCTATTTATTCTGCTGTTGTTTTCCAGGCTTTTTTCCCCTCCCACTCTCTTTTTTCTTTCTTACCTTTTTTTGTGGTCCTGATTGAACCCAGGGCCTTTGCACTGGCTACATTCCGGCCCTTTAAATTTTTATTTTTTAAGAGTCTTGCTAAATTACTTAGGTTGGACCTAAACTTGTGATCCTCCTGCTTCGGCCTCCCAGTGTGGTGGGATTACATGTGTGCCCTATCATGCCCGGCTTCTGCTGCTATAGAGGGCCAGGTATCCCCAACTCAGGGGGCAAGAAGGAGCCCAGAGGCAAGTCCCTGCCCCTCAAGACCTCAGCTTCCCTTTCCAGCTGGGGGGAGGAAGCAGTGCCCTGGGGTGTCTCCAGCTCTGAATTCTCTACTTCACCCACCCTGGGCCTCTAGGTGATCCCAGGGCCAGGTTGTCAGCATGGAGCAGGAGCAGGGCCCTTAAGGAGGGTGACGGATAGGAGGACTGCTGGGGCTGGGAGCTGAGGACTGCACATCTCTTTGTTCACTGTTGGGGCAGCCCAGAGACTCCAGACTGGTGAGCAGTTAGCCATGCAGTTGCTAACAGATAGGTGCTGCCCCTCCTAAAGGCATCCTGTTATGTCCAGCGTGGATGGAGAGCCATTGCCTGGCATGTATTAAGTGCTCAATAAACGCATTTTGGATGCATCTGACAATTTGTGTGACAGTAAAGAGAATGCCATCCTGAAGGGCCCCAAGAGCCCTCCTTGAAAGAGGAGCGTTGAAGTGTGGGTCCCAGTTGTGCTGTGTGTGTGCAGTGGGTACTGGAGAGCTCAGGGAAAGCACTGCGTTTCATACCCCTGCCCACCACCTTGGTCATGTTTGCACAGTTGATGGCCTCCTATTCCTAAAGGCGAAGTGCTGGGCACAGGCAGGCAGCCTCTTCTTCCTGCTAGCTTAAAGGCAGAATCAGTCAAGTGTCTTCTAATCCGAGCTGAATCCATTCATTTGTTATTCATTCAGATTCTTCCAGGTTGGGTTCCCTGCCCAGGTGGATCCCCCACTCATGTGCATCTATCACCTGGGTATGACCACAGCTTCCTCTGGTCCCCTGGGGCTGCTGGTTGTGGGAGGCACACCACGTGCTGCTTTAGAATCAGCAGAGTGACAAGTAGGTGGGGACCAGGGGACAGATGAGCCTGGGTGGCATTTTCCCAGGGGCCCTGTGGAGGCTCTGGTGTGGAAGCAGCACTTGATCTGGGCCTTGAATTATGAATGGGCATCCAGAGGGCAAAGGTCTGGAGGCAGGAAGGAGCCGGGAGGGTTTGATGACTGTGAGGTTGGAGTGGGCCGGGATGGGGCGGGGGGTGGACCTTGGTGTGCAGGATCTGGAAGGCAGGAGGGTGCCTAGCTTGGGGGGGTTATATTGGGGAGCTGTGGGACAGACTCTGGGGAGGGGGACAGTCAGAAGGCCAGGGATGGTGTCACCCATGGGATCTGTCGTGGGCCAGGCCTCTCTCCAGGAGGACAGGATAGGAGTGCATTAAGCTCACAGCCCAGGACAGGTGAGCAGAGAAGGCACAGGTCAAAAGGGAACCCAGGGGAGCTGGGGATACCTGAGGTTCCAGGAGCCTCCGGAGGCTGTGGGGGAACTGGAAGGGCTTCCTGGAGGAAGTGAGGCCAGGGTGGCATTGGACGGTGGTGCACTGGGGGTTGGGGAACTGCCCAATCCTGGAGTGACCCCACCTAGCAAGGCTGAGACTGCTCGGTGCAGCCTGCTGGCTGACGTGATGGAGACTGCAGTAGTAGAGGATGCCCTGGTAGACACAGCCAGGAGCCCCAGCCACGATCTGAGCTCAGGAGAGGTCTGGTGGCTCCAATGCAATGTCATCCACCCTTAGGGTGCTCCAGGTGCAGGTAGGGGGTGAAGGCCAAGCTCCCTCCTCTCACCTGCCTGTCCTTGCCCACCAGGCGCCTTTGCCAAGGTGAAGGAGAGCCAGCGCATGAGCGACGAGGGCCGAATGGTGCAGGATGAGGCAGATGGCATCCGCAGGCGCTGCCGAGTGGTGGGCTTCGCTCTGCAGGCTGAGATGAGCCACTTCCACCAGCGCCGTGAGCTCGACTTCCAGCACATGATGCAGAGCTACCTGCGCCAGCAGATCCTCTTCTACCAGCGTGTGGCCCAGCAGTTGGAGAAGGCCCTGCGCATGTATGACCACCTCTGACCTTGTGGGCCCCACCAAGGCCTGGTCACGGTGCGGCCGGAGCTTGGCGGGGGCAAGGTGGGCAGGAAAAGGGGCTTTGGAGGCATCCCAGCCAACCTGCTTTGAGACAGCAGAGCAGGGCCAGGCTGCCCTCACCACCCCTGTTCACTCAGTGTCACCATGGTCCTGGGCCAGTTGTTGTGCACCTGGGCTGGTGCCTGTCCCAGGGGATGGCAAGGGTCAGATACAAAATCAGGCAAAGGAAATACAGTGTGACGGGTGGCTGAGTAAGGGGCTCCTGTAAGCTCCCAGATGGGTCCAAGCCCCCTATCGGCCAGAGTAGGCAATGTTCCAGCAGAATGTCTTGATGAGATGAGTGACAAGGACCTGCCAGACAGCAAATGGGAAGAAGAACTTTTGAGGAGAGGATTCATGTGGGGTCTTCTCTCCCTTACCTTTCCCAAGCATGTTTGGTGTCCTCTCCATAGGGACTCTGGCCTGGTGGCAGAGGGAAGGGATGGTCCTTGCTTCTTGTCCTGCCTTTCCCTGCCCCACCCTGTCCCCTGCAGGAAGGGCTGCAGGGCAACTGCCTGCAGGCCTCTGCCTCCCCTCCCCTCCCCTGCTGTGCCCCCGCATTCTCTTGCTTGGTTGCCAGGCAGCATCCTTCCCCCTGGGCTTGGGGTGCAGGACAAGCCACAGACCAGAGGCCCTGGTGGCGCTTTCCTGGAGGGGACACCCTCAAGTTATGGGATATTTGAGTTCCCCAGCAGTAACTGCCTTGCTCCAAGCCAGCCCAGACCCCAGCTCCCAGGGGCCTTGGCCATGGAGGTGTCATCTTCCAGAATCCTTCCTGTTGCACTGTGGGAGCCCAGGAGAGAGCCAGGGATTCCAGTTCCCAGCCCTTGGAAGCTCCTGGTCACCTCTGCTGTTTCCAGCCTATGTTTACGTCCGCCGCCTCTCCTGGGCCAGGGCATGGCCAAGCAGCAGCTGGGAGGACAGTGATTGTCACCTCTGCCCCTAGGAGGTCTTGGTTTGCTCCTAGCTGCTGCTGCTTGAATTTTTCTCTTTTTTTTTCTTTGTAAACCTTCCACTATAAGATGACAAGAGCACAACCTCTTCTGTGTGGATCCTGGGAGGGCTGAGGGTGGGGAAGGCTGGACTCCAAATTGACCCCCAGAGCCACTAGACGAGATTTGGCAGTCACGGTAGGTCAGGTCATTTTTTCCACAGACCCTCAACAGGTAGGGGATGAGGAGCTAGTGGGAGGAGCTAGAGGTGGCCCAGACCCTGGATAGTCTGTACAGCTGGGAAGATAAGTTCAGTCCATGCAGGCTTCCACTGTGCTGCTCCCGGTGCCCTGAGGGTTGTGGGAAGGAGGAATGGGAGGCCACGCCTAGGACACTCCTGGGTACTTTCTGTCCCTCCCCCATCATCCTTGCTCTGCAGTGGGTCTATGCTGGAAACTAAAGAGGCACTGCAGCTGGGCCCTTGTGGGGTACGTGGTCCAGGTGGGTAGGAGCTGTGCCTCTGGCACTGCAGAGGTAAGCAGAGTAGACACAGTCATCTTCCAGTGGCCATGGGGTTGGAGATGGGCTGGGCGCCTCTCAGCATCAGGGCTGCCCAGGGAGGCCTTGCCAGGCCAGGACTGGGCAGCGAGAGATGGGCACAGGCCCTGCTCTTCAGGGCAGAATGTCCTCACAGGAACTTCTGGAATGGGTCCCCTGGCCCTAGGTCAACATTAGGTCAGATTTGGGACTTTTTGAGGAATTTTCCCCTCTCCTTTCTCCTTCCTTTATTTTTTGGCCCATCTGCGGAGCTAACGTCTGCCCTAACTCTGCTCAGCTGTGTCATCTGCAGAGTGCAGCTGAGTGTGGGAGGGACAGGATCTCCTTCCCGAGGCAACCTGGAAGGTCCCCTGTTAGTCACCTGCCCTGGGGAGCTGTCACCCTCTCGTGTCCCTCTGAGAGGGCCACTTCCTGTGCCTGTGTCCTCAAGATCAGTGATTGGGAAGGGGTTGGACCTTGGAGAAGAAACAGGAAGTGGAGGCTTGGGATAGGTCAGGCATCCTGAGGTCCCTGGGTGGGGAAAGGTGTGTGGGGTGAGGAGTGGGGCATCATGGCCCTTCTGTCTTCTGAGTGGGTTGGGATGTTGGGGAATCTGGAGTTGTTCTGGGCTGGCCAGAACCCCTCTCAGCAGGAGACTGGGGAACCAGTATCGGAGGAGGGGACACGCTGGTAGTAGCAGGGCTTGCTGGCCTTAGTCACATGCCGGCAGCTGTTTCAGGCTGAGCTGGGCCCAGCTGCCTGCAGTTTCCTCCTTCGCTTTGCTCTGAGTGGGGTAGAAGACAAGGCTTCTTTTTCTGTCCTTGGTGGCTACTAGGACCTGGGTGGGGATGAGGGGCCCCTGATTCCCCAATCCTGGCTGGCCAAGGAAACAGAGTCTGCTGTGTGGCCTCATGTGGGGTGAGGATGAAGTAGACCTTGGATCCTATGTCCCATAGCCCTGGACACAGGAGAACTGGGAACCCTGTAATACTGTGGCACCAGCTGGAGCAGAGCCAGGCCTGGAAGACCCTGATGGTCCTGGCAGCACTGTGACAGAGCCCCATGGTCATCCACACAGTCCTGCTGCTTGCCCAGCAGCCACAGCTGGCCATGTGCGCGCGCGCGCACACACACACACACACACACCCATGTGCTCACGAGTTGCACCCAGCCACACTGCCACACAAGCATAGACATGGCCACATATGTGCTGCTGTCACTCAAGGTCTGCCTCAGCCACGTTGCCATGCACATCACCTCAGCCTTACTCAGTGTCATACATACTCAGCCATACACCAAGTCAGGTACGCATACAGAACAGGTGTCATGCAAGCATGGCTGCCCCTGAGCTGCACCCGTCACCTCCCAGGTCCTTAGTCCAGCTCACCAGAGATTCCACAGGACTTGGAGGGACAAGCAGCCCCCAGGGGGGAGGTGTCCCCAAGGGGAGGAAAGGAAGCCACAATAGCCCTGGGTCACAATCCGAGAGGCCTGGTGTGTTGTCAGGTGAACGGACAATGCCAAGTCCAACTCCTCACTGCACAGCCAGCGCCTCTGAGGTCTAGTGATCACAGGGCCCACCACCTCACCCACCAGGTGGGGGACACTCCAGGGCCAGCTCCAGCTCCAGGCGGGCTCTGTGGCCTGGCCCTGCCCTCCCTGGGCCTATTCCTGGGCCAGGCTGCTGGGAGGCCCCTGGCTGTGTCCACCCCACAGAGCTCCAGGCTTTGCCATCTTTCCAGCCCCGGTTGAGCTGTGCTGTATCTGCAAGGCAGGAACAGGATATGGTAGGCGGACCCAGGCTGGGCGGGAGGGACATTCCTGTGTTGTGTCCTCCCAAGCATGTGAGGACCAGGCCCGCCCCGCCTGCCTGCCTGCTGAGTCAGGCCTCCGGGAGCTAAGCCTGCACACCCCCACCCTCTTCGACCTGCTCCCCACCACTTGACCCAGAGCCTCTTGAGAGTCAGGAGACAGTGCTGGCCGGAAGATCCTGGGGACAAGTGGAAGTGCACCTCCCCCAGTGGAGCTTGGAGCTCTGAAGGGCTGATTGGGAAACCCAGCCCCCTGGAGTGAGCACACTCCTTTTTCTTTTGGTTTGATTAGCCAACCCCAGTGAAGACCAGGCTAAAAAACAGTTCCGGCTGGGGATTTAGCTCAGTGGTTCCTCCTGCTTCACTTCGCAAGTGCAAGGACAAAAAAACAACAACAACAACAAAAAGCAGTTCCTCCCATAGCTGTGGCTTACTTGGTTTGCATGCCAGCCTGGGTGACATCTCAGTTCCATTTCACAGACAAAAAGACTGAGGCTTGGCCAGGGAGGGTGAGAGTTACCTAGGATCCCACAGCAAGGCCAGGCAGTGCTGGACTGGAACCCAGTTCTCTGGCTTCATTCCAGAGTTTGAACTGATGAAGTTGCTTAGGTCCAAGGGAAGAGGGGGTAGCAGATCTCTGCTTCAGAGGGGAAAGTGGCAGGCTGGAGAGCCAACTGCTGAAAGGTGAGGGGGCTTGAAGTGCCTGAGGATGGGGTGAGTCTGGCAGCCTCACAGAGACAAAGTCTGAAGGCAGCTCAGCATGTGAATCCAGCTCTGTTTGCAAAAGAACCTGTGTGAGGAGCCTAACTTCATTTTCCCAGTCCTCCCTGGATTTCTTTCCATTCACCCACAAGGTAGAAAAGTCATCACTAATGATTCGGGAGCCCTGCCTTCAGGCCTCTATCTGAGTTTTGGGGATAGCACATTTGAAGACTTTGGGCAAGACCCCAGCACTTTTGTTCATTGATTCATTCAAGACACTAGGTAGCCTGGGCCTTGAACTCACTGTGTAACCCAGACTGGCCTCGAACTCTCCATCTTCTTGCCTCAGCCTCCCGAGTGCTGGGTTTACAGGTGTGCACCGCCATGCTGGCAGAGGTTTACACACTGAAGCCCACATATTCAACTGTAACTGTACACTACATTAAAGAGTTTGGTTTACTACTTGAAGAATCTTGTCATATAAATATTTAATTAAAAGTTATTATTTTTGGTGTTGCCTTTTTTTTCAGAGCTGGGAATCAAACCCAGGGCAAACACTCCTCCACCAAGCTACATTCCTAGCCTGCTTTTCTTCTCTTTTATTTATTTTGTTTGTTTGTTTTTTGAGACAGTGACTCACTGTGTAGCCCAAGCTGGCCTTGAACTTGTGGCAGTCCTCCTGCTTTAGTCTCCCAAGTGCTAGGATTCCAGGTGTGTGCCACCACACCTGGCTCTTTTCTTTCTTTCTCCTTCCTTTTCTTTTGGTGCTCTGCTCTCCAGCACCTGGCCCTGGCGCCACGCATTTATCTAGGTTGCTTCCTACAGAGGGTCCCCCAGCCCTGGGTCCCTGGCCCTGTAGTCCAGGCCAGCACTGGACCCTTGGATCCTTCTCACTTGCACCTGCCTCCCCTGCCTGCTCTCATTGCCCATTCTGAGGCCCTGAGAAAAAGGTTTAGCTTTCTCTGCTCCTGGCCTGCCGGGCTCCTTTGTGGCGTCCAGACCAAGGGCTGGTAAGGCTCCCTTCCGTGGCCTCTGTCCCCTATGGCTGTGGTCCTCATTCTACAGCTCCTGCCTCCTAGCCAAGTGCAGGGAGATGTCCCATGGCTGGTTAGATGCTCCAGCTGGTTAGATGCCCTAGGTAGCCTGAGTCATAAGGACCTGGCTGCTTCCTCAAGGTCTACCTGGGAAGAGGACAGAAGTCCCAATGCCTGGGTTTTCCAGCCTCTTGGGGCTTCTCCCCTCTCCCAGTGTAGCTCATGGTGGATATGGGGTGCCCATTATTTCTTAGCCACCCTGTGTGCAAGAGATTATCAGCATCATTTTGCAGACCAGGAGCCGGGGCCCAGCAACGCAGGTGCTGGAGCAGCAGAGGCAGGGGGTGAGATGGTCCCCAGGCCCAGGCCACTTGTGCTGAGGGGCAAATGGCCTGGAACAGGGGTTGGCTGGGTCGCTTAGGTTCCTGGAGCCTCTTCTTGGCTGGCCTTCCCCTTGCTACCATGGGAAGTGCTCTGGGTGAGTATATAAGGCTCACCCTGTGGCCCTGCTGTCCCCCCTCAGTCCCTCTCCCTCCACCCCAAGAGTTAGGACAGCAGGGTGTCAGAACCAAGCACAAATCCCATCCAATGAGTTCTTGCTGTCAATCGATCCAGGGACATTAACTGCATTGAGCTTCCGTTTTCTGTTTATAGCACAGTGTGCCAGACTACAAGGAGGGTTTCAGACAGAACACGTCAGCCAGCAGCACTGTGCAGCCAGGCCTCCACAAGGAGTGGCCAGGATGCCAGCCTCTGGCAGAACAGAGTAGAGAGGTGGGACCCGGAATCCTGGTACCCCACCTCACAGGGAGGACCATGGACTGAGCAAGCCATGGAGGCCACAGGTGGCCACTGGCAAAGTGAGACCAAGCCCCTGCAGCCCCCAGACCTTGGGTCCTGCCTGGGTTGTCACACTGTCCCCATGGGGCAAAGCCTCCCCAGGAGCCTCCTGTCTCTTATGGCATTTGATGGTCCAGGGGGAGGGGCCACAGGGCCATGGCTATCATACACACACCAGTGCACATGGCAGCATGCTCCAGGTACACCCCAAGCCCTCCACTTGGCCAGGCCAGTACCTGCTGTGGCCAGGGGTGCCTTAGTCTGAGCCCTACTTTCCAGTGATGGTCGTCATGATTACGAAGGGCCTCGAATTCACCTCATGGGCTGTCATGTCCCAGTGTGCCACGTCTTCAAAGCCACAAAGGCCAGAAAGGGTGGGTGGCCCCAACGGCACAGCATCAGGTGGTTTTCAGTCTTCCTCAGTGCCAGCCTGGGGTTCTGTGCCCACTGTGAGCTCTGTCATTGCCCTTGGTGGTCTGGGAGTCAGAGCCCCTCGTGCCAGCATTCTCTGAAGATGGTGGCCCAGGGCTCTGAGTCACTCTTTGGAGCTTGGGCAGCTGCCCTGTGCAGGCTGGGACTGAAGTCTGCCTGCCTGAGAGCTGAGCCTTTTCCATCTCTCCAGTTGCCTTTCAGAGGCTGTTGGGCTGGCCTGGGCTGGGCCCTGGTCCACAGGGGAGGTGGGGAACAGGTGGCAGATACTGGGGGAGGTGGCTGTGCTTTCACATCAGCAGGTGTGTGGCCCACAGAGAGCACTGAGCAAATATTCACGGAGTGATGATTTCCTGCCTGGCCTCAGTGTGGGAATGAGACCTACCATGGGTAGGCCAGTGGCAGGAAGGCTGGGCAGTGGGCTCAGGCAGGGCAGCATGCTTGTCAGTAAGCATTGTCAGGAGCCTCCTTTCTCCAGGGGCCAACGTGGGGCAGTGAGGGAGCAGGGAAAGGCTGAGCTGGGGGGAGGAGGGTCCAGGTTCCAGTGGGGCAGGCAGGAGTGGGGTGACAGTGATAGGGCCTGTGCTTGGCCAGTGGGAGCCAGAGGGACCTACACTCACGTGCTAATCAATCCCCATCTCCCGCCGGGGTCGATTCCAGGCTCCTCCCTCGGCCCATGGGCACCTTTCTGATCCCACCTGGGTGCCTCTCCCCTTTGCTCTTGGGACCTGGGACTCACCTGTCTCTTGCTGTCCTCTCTTCTGGGCCTGCTAACACCTCAGGCCCTTTGCATTTGCTGTCCCCTGTCTGGAATGTTATTCCACTCAAGTAGTGTGCAATTTGGACCTCAGTGAATTCAAGTTGCTGCTTAAATGTCACCTCCTCCGAGAAGCCTTCCCTGACCACCCCATCTATGGAGTCCTCCTGGTCCCTCCATCCCCTTACACTGCCTTCTTTATTTCACTTAATGCCAACTGGCAATTATATACTTGTGTGTATTTCACTTATGGAAAACTTCACACATGTGCAAAACCAGAAACTCATACAATGGGTCCCCATGTGCCCACCCCTCAGTCTCAACAGTGATCAATATTGGGGAGGTATTTTGTTTATTTTTTTGTTTTTGGTACTGGGGATCGAACTCTGGACTTTTGGCTTTCGAGGCAGGCTGTGCCACCACTGTGCTAAACCCCTGGCCTGGGCTGGTATTTTAATCAATCAATTAATTAATTTGTAGGACTGCAATCCCAGGCCCAGGCCCTTTACACTTAGCTATATCTCCAGACCTATTTATTTATTTATTTATTTATTTATTTATTTATTGGTGCTGGGGATCGAACTCGGTACCTTCTGCTTGCGAGGCAGGCAGCGGAACCACTGAGCTAAATCCCCGACCCTTTATTTTTAATTGTTGAGATAAGGTCTCACTAAATCACTAAGTTAGCCAGCCTGGGCTTGAACTTTCCATCTTCCTGCCTCAGCCTCCCAGGCTCAGACTCCTGCCTCAGCTTTCTAGAGCACTGGGATTACAAGTGTGCTTTGGCCAGTGTTTTAATCCCCCTCCATCCCTTGCCTTCCAGCGAACTCCACACATCCCGTAATCTGCAGACCGGTGCAAAGGTTATTATTTTAACTGTATCTCTTTCTGGCCTGTCTCCCCGAGGGGATGCTGCCTCAGGGGAGCTGGTGTCACATCCAGCACAGGCTTATTGAAAGTGACTCCAGACATCTTTGACCCTGGGGACGGGCCATGCACAGGTTCAGGTTTGCATACGCCCACCTACTGCTGTGTCAGTGAGAGTCTGCACACGGTGGCCCCATGATTGCATGTGGGTGTGCATGTGTGTATTACATTGAAGCTGGTGGTTGAGTGCACGCCTCGCCCCTGATGTCATCTCCCACACCCCCAGGACCCATGACTCACTGCCAGCCAGGCACGGCCCAGCTCAGTCCTCTCCAGCCCTGAGAGTCCCTCCTTGTCCTGTCCTTACATGGCTGTCCCCACCGGTAGTGTATGCAATCCCTTGGCTCCTGGCACCAAGGCCCAGCCTAACTGGCCAGCATTGCTGGACACGGAGTGGGGTATGTTTGTGTGAGGGGATAGCTTGGAAGACAGAACCCTGAGACAGGGTTGTATGGTCTGACTCCATCCAGCTCAGCTACTAACTTACTGTGTGAGCTTGGGTTGGTCCCTGTCTTCCGTCTCAGGTCCTGGTCTTAGAGGTCAAGGGGCCTTCAGTTGGTGCACCTGAAAAATCTGCTGTGCGGTGTGTCTTCTAACCACCCGGGTACCTGGCTAAATGCAGCCTGACTCAGCCTCTGGGGCAGAGCCCAAGTCTTCATTTCCTTTTTTTTTTTTTGTCCCGGTGGTCCTGGGGGTGGAACCCAGGGCCTCATGCATGCCAGGCAAGCACTCTGCCATGGAGTCACAACCCAGCCCAATCCTTCATTCCCAATAGGCTCCTGAGCAATACTGGTGCTGCTGGCCCTGCCCCCCACTTTGAGCCTCAAAGATTTAAACAACCCACTCATTTGAACCTTCAGGACCCAGAAATGGTCAGGAGGGCGCCTTGGGATGAGCTTGGGCTCTGGGGTAACAGAGCCAGCAGTTCTCAGGTTGGGGAAAAGGGGTGCTCCTCCTTTTGAGTAGAAAAGTCCATTCTTGGCTACTGGGCAGATAATCCAGGGGTTGCTCCTGTCTGTGTAGGGGCCCCGGTGGGATCTGAAATGTGAAGGAAAACAGTACAACCCACTAATTATCCTGGTAGCCACAAGTGGTGACGCCCTTTATGAGAACAGCAGCCATCAGTTAAATACTATAATTCCAAGGATACAACATTACCATACGGTCGTTAAGCATGCTCAGGTCCAGCTGGTGTGTGGTCACCCTTTCTAAGGACAGAAGGAAGCAGAGGCAGCTTCCCCTCGCTGGCCAGCTCATACCGCTGGGTGAAGGTGCACATCATGGCTTGGCAGTGACTCCTTGGAGTGTCTGGGACTCTTTAGGAAGGGCTGGATGGGTCCTGTCTGCATCTCCTACAGCATGCTTGGCACAAAATAGCCTGCCAATGTTGAATAATCTTAGTGGTAACTGCACAGGGGTATCACTGATCTGAGAAGACCTTGGCAAGATGGGACAAGAGTCCAGTGGGTCTGGTTCTCTCT